TATATAAAGTATGTAATATATATATTATTCCAATGATATTTTTCTTTTCCTCTAACTTAAAGTGTTTCACAGCTAATCATGTGATCTATTAATTAGCAGTAAAATTAAGAGCTGTAAATTAATAAGAAAAATTTAGAAGCAGCATTATTGCTCTGCTACTAGTGATATTAGGCTATTAATTTATACTCTTTGAGCTTCAGTTTTGTACCCATCACCCATCTATAAAATGGGGATTGCAATACCTGTCTTTAGCAACCAGCCTCAGAGAAGTCCTGTGAAGCCTCTGCAGATAAATAATACTCCTAGCGTAAGAGATGTATTATAATATTATTCCAAAGGATATCAACAAAGTCAGTTTTCCCTAGAGGACTTACAGTTTGATACCTTAATTATTGCATCTCTCCTTTTAGAAAGGTACATATGGCTAATGATTAACCTCAGTGGACCCTTCTACTCAACAGAACTTTTTTCACAGTAATAGGGACCTGAATCTTAAAATGAATCTCAAAGAGTATCAAGCATGAGTTTGTCCTCTTATATTAGTGAAAAATTGTATTTGCCTTGAATCTCACCTTCTTTCCTACTATCAGGACACATCTCAAAAAAAGGCCAGATTGCTATAGCCAGTTCAGCTCCAACTTCTGGCCAGAGAATGTTTTACCTTTGTGTGATGGCTCTTGAGGAATCACTATGGGGAAGTTTTTGCAGAGATACACTGAATCATTTAATCCCCTGTCAACCCAGTTCTTCACTTTTTATAGCCAGCATCATTAGGGATTTTGTGTTTATTTATATTCACTTCAAGCTACCTCATCATGGGGGGAGGGAAGGACTGCAGCAATTTTGCAGTCTTACAAAATTCTTTCTCAGAAATGTGTATTTCTGCTTCCTTTAACTGGGATAGGCTCCAATTAACCTGCACCTAAAACTAAGAAGGGATGAAGTTAAATGTACATGACTCATCACAGCTGTCACTGGATTTTAATATTCATAAGCTCAAAGCCAGCACATTACACTCTGATGCCAGGTAATGGCTATTCCCTAAGGACCTGAAGCCATGTCTAAGCACATCTTCACACACGCTGATGCCCTTCCTGAACAGCTCTTAGCTATACTCTAGAGAGCTGTCCTATTTCAAGCCTTCAGCTCATAAAGTTACAGTGTCATCCTCAAGACCCAATCGCATTGTTTTTAGCCCAGCATTTATTCACCTTATATTTGTTATTCTGCCAATACATGGCTGCACTGAAAACACTGAGATATTTGGCATTTTTTTAAGCATTTGACTCTTGGAATGGTATTATGTAAGAATATCAGCTTTCATTGGAAAAAAGAGGGAACTTTTTAATCTTCATGGTTATAAAGTAAAGCTTGAAAATGTGATGTGAATGTTTTTTTCAAGGATAAGATGCCTTAGGCTATGAAAAAGAGAAAGAAAATGTACTTTTTTTTCAAGTTCTCTGGAGCGTTACAAGCATTTAAGTTTTTGGGATCTGACTCATGACTTTTCAGCACTGTGGTTCTACCTGATGTCACATCGCTTAAGCTCAAAATACTCAGAGGAGAATTAAAGACACCAACACCCTATGTAGTACACTGGTCAAATTTATTGCATTAGGAAACTTAATTTCAGAAGTCTGTTGACAAAATAAATGAGACATGAGAGAGGCTATTGCTGAGTGACTTTTAGATTATTGAATTAGAATCCGTAACCTCTCTCTCCTCAAGCAACTAAATTTCAGTTGCAAAGACTAGTCATGATTAAGGGCCAGAGCCTATGTGTTGCTTCTTAGAAAGAAAGGTAGAGAAGTTACAGTTTAAGTGTGGTGCAAAGACAGCAGCTTTCCTGCAACGGCCATAGCTTAGAGCAGCCTTGAGATGCAAAGCTAACTTGTTACTCTAAAGCAGAACTGCTACAAGACTTGCATTCTATACAAGTCAAAACAGAAAAAACGTTGTCAGCAATAGATTAAACATCCTGTTGTACTTTCTGTCCTGCTTCGCTCTTGACATCTATAGTTCAGTTTAAAACCAGAATCAGCCCAGAAAAAAGAATCTGTGGGTCTCAGCCATGCTGAGTCACGCAGCTTCTAATTTACCGAGGTCTTTCTAACAATGGCAAAACATGTCTCCCAACATTTTAAAATGGAAAAAAAAGAAACAAGCAAGTGATCTTGTCTCCTTGGCAATAAAAAAAGGAATCTGACCACCTAAACATGGCAATTTAAAATTCGAGAGCTAGACTCATCCCTGCTATACTATAACTACATGTAGAACGAGAATATACTTAGGATGACATGGTCCGGATTTGGGGAGACTTCTCAGAAAAGGAGATAACTGAACGCAAGTGCTGAACTGTTACTGCCTTTGGATATCTTGTAAAATGGAAGTGCACATCACATCTGGTAAAATTTTAAAATCTATTGTAAAAACTATTTAAAGCCACGTGATTACTGTAAGCTACAGTTAGATTCAAAAAGTGATGCAGAGTAGAAAGTCCAGGGCTGTTGACCATGTTATATTTACTGTTTAGAGGTTGGTAACAGAAATTAACAAATCAATATTGGGCTGTAGCCCTGGTATTTTGTTAGTAACCCATCTGGTGCCTAAAACTTCATCCCTGACACAGAGATCTCTCCATCAGTGTTCACTAGGACTAGGATTGCCAAAAAAAATGCTATAACATGTCCATGTGTACGGAAAGAACTTAGCAAATGCCACCCGAGTTGATAGCCACTGATGTTATAAGAACTTTCCAATACTAACAGCTTATTAGCAGATCTTTTGACAAGTAAACGGACCTGGGTTTTATCTTACTTGTTTCTAGCGGAACTAGGCTGCATGGTAGTTTCTTTGCATATTTTATGGGGCTCCTGTCATAAATCTATTTTTGGTTCATGGTGGGTTTAAGAAAGAGGTATTCTCTCTCCTCTCCTTAGAACTGTAGTGTCATTGTATGTGTACATACATACACACTTTACAAAAACTTTCTATAGTATTGTTTCAAGCTGTAGTTGTGCTGTCACATTGTTGAATTTTTCATGAATCTTCAAGTGCAAAGTTTTCCTAAAAGGCACAAGTACTGTAGAGGAGCTGCAGGCAGAAGTCCAGTCTCAAAGCTGACAAAGATTTCCTGTGCAGCACAGACTGAAAACCCATGGATTTCAAAGGGTTGAGACCTGGGCTCAGAGTACCACGATAAAGAAATAGTTCTGCATTATTATTTTTGGCTGGCCTAGGCAAGTCACTTCTATACCAGTTCTAGTACATATTTATTGCAGTAACCTGTTCAGACTGTTAGAGATGAAAATGGGAAGTCAACTATCTTTTCTGTAGAGAGAAAGAAAACATTCGGCTTAGCTGTTCTTGTGAACTTTGGTCATACAAGAGGCCCTGATGACAGCAACAGCCCCATACGTGAGAAAGTACTATGTGAGCCTAGAAACTGATGTACAGGAAACAGGAATACAGTTGTTGAGACAAGAAAGTCAATGTCAGAGCTTGCATTTCTGTTTTTGACATCTGGTAGGTATCTGCCTGCTAGCTGCAGAAACTCCATGAGCTCCACAGATCAAGACGCAAATACAGGTCTCTTCTTGATTTGTAGTGATCCATGGGAACTTGGCATGAGTGATGCCATCTTCAACCCCTTCCTGAACATTTACTAATGGGAAGGAATTATTTGAATGTTTTTGGATTTTTCTGTCCCATGCTGTACCCGATTTAAACAGATTGCTAAACTACAAAGATTTCTTTACTCTCTACTCTAACAATTAAAATATTTGTGCAAACCCATGATGTTTAATGTGCTCTCCAGGATCCTCACAAAAACTTTATTCATTATTGACTTTTTTCTGCCTATAACTTCCCAAGTGGAAATACAATTTTATTTCTTTGAGTATACACTTGAATTTGAAAATTAAGCCATTTGAAAACAAGGCTCCAGATGAAGCAGTCTTTGCTTGCAGTTCCATCCTGAAAACCTTATACAAGAAACTAGCCTCACTGAACTAAGATTCACAGTGCATGATTTCCTGGATTAAAACCACCATTTCAATAACTCCATATAGTAAAAACATTATCAACATGGCAGAAGCCCATCAGTTTATAATAGCTCAGGTTCTGATTTTACTGGAAGATTATGCTGTCTTCTTCCTGCTTTCTTCTTATATTCTCCTTTTGCTATTTCATAGAGAATTAAATAAAGAATGACTCACCTGCTTCTGGAAGCATTAAAACTCACCTCTCCTATTACACTTGTTAGCAGCCTTAGTGCACCACGATCATGGACAAGAGAGTCTGTGTAAAATGAACCAAGATATTTTCTTGGATCCACCTTATTATCCACTGCACACAAATCAGGGCGCATGTTGAATCCATGGGAGATTCGCCCAACTGTGTATGGAAAAGATCCACCTGCAAGAAGAAATTTTTAGTAACAGAAGCGAAAAATATGCAGGAGGTAAAAAAGCCACATTATCAACAGAGATCCGTAAGTTTTACTGTCAACTATTTAGAAGGTAAGTGCTCTGCATCAGAATTTTTTATTCCTTCCCATTCATTAGCTTCTTTCTCTGTTTTCCCCACTTCTTCACTACTGTGATGCCCAAATTCCTCCTGCTGCTTCCTTGTCCCTTTCCCCAAGCCATCTCCTGTCTCCCCTTCCTCCTCGTTTCCCTTAAAGGCTATTGTAACAGTTCAAACACTGGCTGAAACAGGCTAGAGAGTGTTCACACAAGCAGCCGATCTGGCATATTATCTTCTTTGGGGTAATAGTACTCAGCTGGTGGTAGGCTTAAAGTGGTAACCCTATTAGCTGGCATACCAGAAAATACAATTGTACCATGCTCAACTAAAGAACAAGTGTTTCACATGGTGTATTACTTACCTCCGTGTGCAAAGCAAACTTTCAGCTTAGGAAATTTTTCAAAAATTCCTCCCATAATCATGGAGCAAATGGCTATGGTTGTTTCTGCTGGCATGCCTAAGAAAAAAAAAAGCTTTATTGTATGAGAGTTTTATTTTTTATTTTCCTATGAGTTTTAAATGTTATCTCCATTTTCTTCAATTAGCCTTGAGCCTAGTGAAAATATAATAATTACAGAGCAGCTGCCAAAGGTTACGCACTATTTCTATTAGAGGAACATGGAGCTGAACATTAATTAACTGAAATGAGGACACAGGACTGGAAGCTAAGATCTTCTGAATTCTAAGCCCAGTTTTTATCCTACACCACTAGGACAGCTGACAGACAGGGTGGGTATGTCCTGAACTGCACAGTACAGGCTTGATTCCCCAGTTATCCCCAGAACTGCACTGTACAGGTTTGATTCCCCAATTATCCCCAGAACTGCACAGTATGGGTTTGATTCCCCAGTTATCCTACCTCAAAGGCGAGTCTGGAATATGCCAGGTTCTCTTCCCACCTGTGCTTCTTTTCTGTGGAAACTGGGGCAGATATGTTGGTGGATATTCCAACACAGATTTGGGGTTTAGTTGTGACGTGGTGCCAGTTCCTACAGTTTAGAAATAACCTCTCTCTCTCTTTGCCACTGGGTAACTTGGATGCCCAGTGTTAGGAACATAACAGCTATTTAAGTTCCTGTATCAGGCCTCAGTTTCTGAGCACACTTAACATTTTTAGAATATCATGCCATTTAGGCGCCTAACTTCAGAAATCCAGCTTGAAATTAGGAACTGAGTTCCCCTCATCTATGGGGGAAACAACACCCATCACCTCAAAATGTTGTCTTTCATTAATGTTTTACCATATGCTCAGATGCAAAGCCTTATTAGGCTTAGAAGGAAAATCTTTACACTTTGTTAAGTAAATGCAGTAATTTTAGTCTCTTTTTAAATCTGTGTTGTTGAGCCTGCTCTGATCAAGACTAATTGATATTGTTTTAAGATAATGCACTGGTGACTGGGACACTAAGATTTTCCAGTGTATATTGCAGAACACATATTATATGTACATTGAGTATGTTTTTCAGAACACCTCTACTGGAGGCAGTGCAAAACCATGCAAAACAAAACAATGCAAAACAGAGTAAGGAAGGGTGGAATCAGGCCTAAACATTTCTAGGTAGCAGTAGAACCTAACTTCTGTTATTCAATGTTTTTCTGATTTACCTAGCAGATGGGGAAAAAACCAGAAACCAGATAATTCCCTACATCTATTGGGAGCTTTCAAAGTACATGTTCTTTCAGCTATAGTTGATGTGAACTTAGATTTATTTCCTCTCTGATCAACCTATTTCTAGGAAATAATCCAAGAAATTCTAGGAAGTAGTGTTTGGTTTTGCCTACTCCTTCATTTACTCACATTATTTTTGAGGAGCTCATTTCAGAGACAATTCACTTTTCCCTAGTCACCTGCTCTTTATATTTAGGACAAAAGAGAATACTAGATTCTGTTGCTAGTCTGAATAATTTTAATTTTAGGTATTTAAAAGTTAGACAAACTAAACAAGCTTAAAAACAAATGACTGCTGAATTTATACAACAGATTTAATCGTAGTACTTGATTTAAAAAAAACAGATTCATAGAAAAATGATGTAGTTTTTTTCTGTACTAGTACCTTTGCAACAGTCTTCTGGGCATAATCCAGTGACAGTTCATAAGATTAAGCAAAGTAAATATACACTCACCTATTAGCCAGGGAAACCAATATTTGGACATCCTTCCATCTATCTGCATGTCCCAGGGATGCACAAAGAGACAGCAATTTAATTGTTCAGCAGCCTGCAGCAAAAAGAAAAAATCTAAATCTTGACTAATCATACCAAAATGCATCTTAGTTCTTAGTTGTGCTTTAAAGATTACCTGCAAAATCGTACTGAGCATTAGTACTAGTAATGAAAATAGGCCCAGAAGTAAGAACTATAAGCAATAGTTGGATATATTTACTCCTCTGGGCCATATCCTGAAGTCCTCACTCAGTTGCATAGTTCTTTTTGAGACTACAGGATTGGAAACACTGATGATAATATCTTTTTAGTAAGCCAAGTGTTCTGCAGATTAATGCAGTACAAAAATGCTTTTTTAGCTGTATTTGTCAGCCATCCTGAAGTATAAAACTCGGTTCAAACTAATATTCTTTTGGTTTCATTACACATACGAGGATGAATTCTCATAATGTTTTATAGAATCATTTTAGGATCGTTTTGCAGAATTGTTCCAGCTGCATTCAGGAATTTTCATTGCTGTTGCACTACATTTGTCCCCTTTGGCCCTCTGCCTGGCTTAAAAAAAAGTTAAAACTATTCCTAATCCACCCTAAGAGTTTGAAATCTAGCTGTATTCCGATCAATAATCCATCTCCACTCAAGTATATTAATTTTTCCAAAATTACTGACATCTTTGGAAAGGAAAACAGAAGAACAATATAGGATGATAATTCTGACTGAGTAATTTAACTATGTGCTTAAATTTAAATATATAGTCATCAGAATCATTCATATGCTTAACCAGGATTTAACAGCTTCATTTTGTCAGATGTATTTCTGGACCTCCTCTTGTTGCTAAGGAGATTATCATGCATTTGAAAAATTTGGGTTTATTTACCCATACATGCATAAATAAAGCTGCAACTTTTGGATTGTAGGGAGTAATTGCCATCTACATTTGTAAACTAAAAATAGCAATTCAGTAACTGGCTTCGTAGATTGATAAAGTTCATTATCAAATATGGCTTAATTTCACAATCTTTATTATCCGGGGATGTTTCTGAAAGCAATAGAGGTTACTTCCTATGTGTTAAACATAAGCTGAAGAATGTACAGTATAAGAGAGAGATCCTAGTACAAGCGAGGGATCTCAGCACAAGAGAGACATGGAGCTAGTGGAGAGTCCAAAGATGACAAAGGGACTGGAGCACCTCTCCTATAAGGAAATGCTGAGAGAGCTGGGACTGTTTAGCCCCAAGAAGAGAAGGCTCAGCAGGGATCTCATCAATGTATATAAATACCTGAAGGGAGGGTGTAAAGAAGATGGAGCCAGGCTCCCTTCTGTGGTGCCTTGTGACAGGACCAGAGGCAATGGGCACAAACTGAAACACAGGAAGTTCCCTCTGAACATCAGGAAACACTTTTTTACTGTGAGGCTGACTGAGCACTGGCACAGGTTGCCCAGAGAGGTTGTGGAGTCTCCATCCTTGGAGATATTCAAAAGCCATCTGGGCATGGTCCTGGGCATCTGGCTCTAGGTGGCCCTGCTTGAGCAAGGGGCTGGACCAGATGATTTCCAGAGGTCCCTTCCAACCTCAGCCATGCTGTGATTCTGTGAATGTGTGCATCTCCAAGAGTGTATATGATTGTATATGACCATAAAAACAAATAGTCCAGATGCTGCACTAACAGAGTTGTTGAATAAATTGAGCATTCTGAAAAATAACCTCTATGGATCAATTTCAAGCTGACAGCTATAATAACCTGTGAAACAGATACAGAATGTACATTGATTAAACCTCACAATTTAGACAAATGACCATTCTCATCTGGACCTCAGGCTATTTAAGAAATGCAATCTATAAATTCATTTTATAATCAATACATTCAGTTTGGAACTTTTGGTCCCATTTGCATAATTCTGTATGGTACTTTGGCTCTATAGGTATCTCTGAAAATCTCAGGGAGTTTTATTGATTATCTCAATAGGATTGGATACAGTAACTTGAACCCAAAAGCAAACAGTGCAGAAATGCTTTATTTGATACTGCAATTGTCCTCACAAACCAAGAAGGCAACTCTACAGTGAGAACTCATATCATAAAAAGATTTTGTTATTCATTATTATAAAGTATGTTTCAGAATGTTTTATATTGTATTATTGTCATTATATCCTATAATAAATTATCATATATAATTAAAGCTGAATCTCTCTGATCATTAAGCAGATTAGAAGGCTCAATTGTTTCCATGTATCTATAAATTTAGTTGATGACTGAGTATGTCCCAAGGTATTTTTAGACAGAATTCTGTATCACAGAATTCCCCAAAATAAGGAAAGAAACATCTACTCACAGCATAAATATCGTACAGTTCTGGTGCATTCAGGTCCCATTCATTGACATGAGATCCTATTTGTACTCCAGGAAATCCAAGTTCATTCACGCAGCGATGCATTTCCTTCACAGCCAGGTCTGGAGCTTGCAAAGGTAATGTACCCAAGCCGATAAACCTCTTGGGGTACTTTTTTACTGTAGCAGCTAAGTCATTATTTAATATCTGGGCTAGATCTAAAGTATCTTGAGGTTTGGCCTGGTAAGATATTAAGCAGAATAGTATATTAAAATATAGTTCTCAAATGTTATCACCTTTGGAAGATATTGGATAAATGCCACTGCAAACAATTCAGAAACAGGGTTTGAACCTAAAATTTACTTTACAGTTCTGAATAGCTGGAAACCAGTAGGGCTAAATTCTGCCTCACTTTAAAACCTCTGGGTGCAGTTCTGCTTCTTGTCTTGAATATTTTATCAACTGCTATTGCCTTTACTACTCAGGATGAGTGTAATAAAGCACTTAAGTATCTGGTCTTTTGTGTCAACCAGTCCTCTGTTTTTGTTTATCCCAATGCAAAAAGCTTAGCATATAATTTTTAAACATAGGAATGTTTAAAATATTTACTCTCCTATTATTGGAGTTGAAGAGATAAAAACAAGAAATGTGAGATGCTGGAGCATAAGAATTCTACAGGGAAAACTTAAGCAAACCTCTCTAACATTTAGAAGGAGATAACAGTCATAATTCTAATAAGGGAACTGCAATATCCATACAATTGGTTTTTCATTTCCCCCCTAATACATATTTAATGGAAAATATTCCCATAAATACCATAATAAAATTTTAAAGATATGTCACCCAACAAGAAATTGTGAAGATCAGTGGTACTACTTATATGTGGGCTTAACACAACAATTTTTAATGTAGCATATCTGTTTACATATAACAACTCAACATGTACATGTAGCTAAATAGTCACATGGAGAATGTATTTAGAACTGCATTTTGCTATGATTTATCTTCCCAGACTGTTTTTATTTCTTTGATGCATTCAAGATCACCATGCAGGGAACATATTAATTTAAATTTGCTACTGAATTTTAAGATTCAAAGCATTCTAGGTCAATGAGTCCCATGCCACATTTAAAAGAAAGTGGGACAAGACCACAAATATATCTTTTACTACTTTTTTTCATGAGAAAATATTGATTGATGCCTAGCTTTCCTGGCATCTGTACATATATGTCTACCTGCTAACCATGGATTCATGCTGTGTAAATTCTCTCTTCCTGTTTCCAGCTACCCCCATAAGGTCCCCAGAAGAAATTCTGTTGTCTCATTCTTTCTTACTGAGTGTACTCCAGAGTGGAGCTTTGGCAGGACACCCTGCTGGCTCTTCTGATACCTGGACTATTTTTTTGTCTTTTGTTTTTCACAGCAGAACAATTCCGCATGTACTTCAGTGCTCTAGTGACTACTTCAGTCACCTAATTTATAGGAGGATGCATTTATTTTTAAAAAATTTTTTAACATATGAATTACAAAATATGCTAGTAGAAACCTACCCAGTAGCTGAACATTACAGGGACTGTGGAAAGGACTTGGACTGTGACTCCTGAGTAAGAAAAAACAGTTGTTAATGTTTCCTTTTTTTTTGGTAAAATGTTAAAAATAAGAAAGCATTTTGGTTTCAAAGGTAGAAGGTAAAAGCTTTAATGGTAAGAAAGACTGATTTAACAGTGACATGCATAGAATCGTTTTTTTGCTAATTAAGGATCATGGTAATAAATCTTGTAGTGTATCATTTTATTAGGATTGGAATATTTTTGCTAAGTAGAAAGAAAAATAACACTTTCATACTCATACTATATTATTTGTGACACTATTTTCATTTTAGAACTTTGGTACGCACGTGTACAATTAATTAAAATAGCAATTCAATGTTACTCTCACATAAATGAATGTGACGTTAAACCAACAGAATACATTGTATCTTAAGTATCTTAAGTTTACTTTGGGGTCACATTTATCATATATATTTAATAAATAAATGTGTAAATTAGCTCAAAGATAAACAACGTTATGTTAACAATGGTTGTTAAACAATATTTTCCTAAGTGTTCCCCAAAGCTATATTGTATTAGGTTTCATTCATCCTGTGTCTGGACTACTGAGGTTGTAAGTATAAGAAAATCTGCCTGTTTTTAGAAATAACTTGGATGTTAGCAATAAAGAGAATTAAGTCTATGTTGTTTGGTTTCTGTTCAGACACAAATCTGTACTGTAACTTTGTGTGTGACGGGTTACAGGAATGAACACAACAAACCTAGCAGATTAACAACAGAAGAAACAATAAACAATAATTAGGACTTCACTAAATAGTTACATGCAAAACTGTAATTTTTTTAAAATTTTAGGTCTGTTTGTAATATTTATGCACATATTTTGTCATGCTTTAAAAAATTTAACTTGGTAGTTAATAATGAGACTACTAATGCAAAAGATGGCAGAAAAACCCTACGAGAATTTCTTCTAAGACAATGACCTTGCCAAAGCATTTGAATGTTTAACAAAATGATTTATCCTCCATCTCAGTATTTTAAGTAGGAAACAAGAGGGGAAGCTAACTCAGGCATCTCTCTTACAAGATCTGATTAATATTATCTACAGCAGCAGTAGTTTGGGCTTAAGGATTAGGTCTACAAAATTACATATATACCGAAGTACAGCCTAAGTTGTATTATCCACCAATATGCTACTGGACACTTGATTAGTATGTTTGAGAACATTCACCATGTTTTCCACAATAAGCATTGTATCTGGTTTCAATCCATTTTTACACTTCTGAGCAAATTTAACATAAATCTTAAAGGCAGATTTCCAGGCTGAACATTCCTAGACACTAGCTTTAGGAAGAAGAAGAATCAGCACAGAAAAACCTCTACTTTATACCCTCTTCAGAGGGTTTTACAAAGGATAAAATAGTAGGAAAAGGCAGTTAGGATTAACTGAAAGATTTTCTCCACTAAAATTGTGATGATTTGTGTCACAGAACTGTGATGTTAATTTCCTCTGCAGCTTGTTTTATTGAATTACCTTGATGATAGCTTTTTAAATTGATTTTCTTTATGCAGGTTTGTATACCAAATAGACCTAGGACAGAACTAATTTAGTCTCTTTGGTACATTGGCTACCATTTCTTATTACTGGCAAGATTTCTTGGGCATTGCACAAAGCCTTTTAGCAACCAAGCTGTAAGTTATCTCTCTGAGTTAATAATACCTTACAGTGACTGATACTAGTTTTGTTCAGCTGGGAGACTCCTTGCATCTTTGTTCCAAAATTATGCCATGTTTGGAGGTTAAATTTTTGGGTATAATCTATCTTGGCCTTGTTACAGAAAACGGTCTTTGAACTAAGTAGCTACAGCTTTGTAAACCGAAAAAGAGTAAATGCGGCCCATAGTCTTTATCATTAGGTGAACAGTAAGAATGAAAAACAGTAAGACCTATTTTTTACACTTAATTGGCTGATGCCTGTATCTCTGGAGTGCTGTAATAAATGGGGACATTTTTATGGCACAAGTCACCAGATGGTGCTGTAACACACAGTTTTAGATTTTTTTTTTTTTTTAACCAAGTGAGCACTGTTTAGTTTGTGGAGAAATATCGTGCTGTTGGCTTTATGATACATTTTCTTTTCTGGAGAGCTGTTGCAAAAATTTGAAAAAAATTGCTCCTGTGTTTTCCCTTTGTCTACAGCAAATAGTGGGGCAGAATTGTTTTGTTTTTTGTTTTTTTGCCATTAGTGTTGAGGGAAATATCTGAAAGGGAAAGATGCCCAAAGACTATTTATGATCCACACTGTTGTTGAATGATGTGGTAATCCCCAAAATCCCTGAGCTAACTCAGGGAATGATTACAATCTAGTCAAGGCAGCATATTTCAGAGAGGTTGCAAAGACATTCTAGCATTCCTATTAAATGTCTAATGGTTGGAGTTTGAAATACTGCTTCTCCAGGGTGAAAATGAGGTACTTGAAAATTCTAAGTTGTCTTTACATAAATTGCCCACCAGCCCTTGAGTTCCTAAATTGGCATGTGTTATGTGTTGCAGTAAACTTCCATAAGGAGAATGACCCAAAGTATCTCCTAACATGCTATCCCTTGAGAGAAGGAAACAATAATCATAAAGATGCTACTTATAAAATATCTGCTCTTTGAAGTAATTCAGGTGTTTATTCTTTATGAAAAGTCAGAGAAGATATTCAAGTTGCATCTACTGAGAAACTGATGTAGGGAATTATTCAGGCCTCAATCTAAGAAAAAATAATCTTTAGTAACAATATTTCTCTCACAAAAGTAATTTGGAATTAGAGTGTTAATAAGATCTAACAAAAGTAATCCACCAGACTAAAAGTTCCTTCTCTCATTCTCAGTTTCCCATCTTACAAACCTTATTTAGTGGCATGTCAGTAACTTGATGGAAAACAAATTTGCAAATTTGGCATCTGGTTAAGTTTCTTTCTAAATCAGGAAAACTCTCTTTTCTGAGAAAGTAATTGTATCAGTTCTCTAGGCTCAGAGTCCTCTAGCAAAAATACAGAATGAAGTTGCAACATCTAAAAAGAAAAAAATATTAGAAAAGGAAACAAACATACAAAAAATCCTATGAGTAAGCAAAATCTTGTTAACATTTGGAACAAAAATGAAAGGGCTTCCTCTTTTACGTAAGTCACTTCTACACCTGGAATGTATGTTGCCTTTTCAAGTCCACAGTCAGTCATCCTTACTTATGTCAATTAATTCCTTACTGTGCTAACAATCACACCAAAATCAGTGGGGAATAAATTGCTACTGAAAATGAGGAAAGTTATGGGAACATGTCCCATTTGAGTCTGAATATAAAGCATATCAGTTTTCACTGACTTTCAACAGATTTAAACTAATGAATCAGTATGCTAAATCTTTTAGTTTTGATATTGTTATTGAGCGCTTTCAGATGTTAATCAACAGAGAAGTTGCTATTATTCTAAATGAGACACAATGATTTCAATTCCTTTATGGAGGTACCTGATAGGTCCATCTCTTTAATCCGTACTTCTGGATCCCAGCAGTTCTCGTGAATAACTCTAAAAACCTTTCCATCCTTCATCATCTTTGCCTGTCCCTGTGAAATGACATTTTCATATATTATAAATGTGACAAAGTAGTACATGCTAATTTATAGTTGCTTGAGTATATTGTGCTCTCTACAGAAACTCAGTGACAAAATTTTGTTCTTTTATTTTTATTCAGTGGGTATTTTTAATCAAAGACTATTTTAAAATAGTCATTAATAAAACAGTAATTTATAGTTCAGATTTAATTCTTCACAATAAAAAAATCCCCTTTCTTTTGCAATGTATATCACACTACATTTGTTTGGAAAAGATATCAGGTACCTTAATTCAAGTTTATCCTGAAACCAAATTTTAACCTCAAAAGAATACTCTAATTAAATCTGTGCTAAATTTTCCCCTTGGGTATGTGTGTATTCTTTTAAAGTCAATAGCATCCCGATGATTCCAGTAACTACAGAAATAATTGTGCAACTCTGTTAATTTCAGTCCAGTTGTTTCATATCACCAGTGATACTGAGAAAAAAGGAGACCTATTATGTTGTCTTCAGATTACATTTTCTCCTTGCGAAAAAAAGAATTATTGAAGATTTTGTATTTGGGGAAAAAAACCCCAAACAAAACCTAAACGCAGTATAAAACCATTACCTGAATTAGTGTAATACCTTCCGCATATGCCACCAATTCCCAAACCTACAAAGTTCAAAATATTATCAAGGTAATGAAATTTAATACTGTTCCTTTAACTATGAACATGGAAACTTCCCTTTTAAACTTGATTTTTGGTTGATTTGTCAATTGTCCAAAGAGGTTGAGTAGGCACAGTGTTATCACATTAAGCAAAGTAAATTGTCTGTTACAGTTGTAGGTATCCATATGCTTCTACGGACTTGTACAGACAGACAAAACAGTCTTTCTGTTGGCTTGCACTTGCACAAATTGATGAGATATAATTCACCAATACTTGCAAGGCCTGAGTATTTCTTGGTTGCTTGAAGTTATTATAGGGATAAATGGAAATGGATGAAAGTCAGAAGATCCACATGTCCCTGTGTATTTGGGATGGGTAAGGGTGGTCATGCAGCAGATGTATTGGACAGAGAACACACTGCATCTGCAGTTGAAAATTGAAAACCACATGAGAAAACACAGCAGCTATTCCTTCACCTTCACCGTAAACAGAAGCTAAGCGCAGGGCAGTCTTCTGACCCTTCTGGAAAGGGAATTCTGTCTCTCCAAAGGCCACTTTATTTTTCCTCACAAAACCAGTTTATTTAGGATCCTGTCTATTTTTCTAAATAAAAAAATCTGTTAAATCAGAATATTCCCTACTAGTATGCTAAACCAGAAATAACTAATAAAATTTCACTACTTCTCGCAGAGCTGGGTTTCTGTCCCCTCCTTCTGAGAAGTCAGACTGTTCTTAACCTTGAATTTGTTATTAACTTCATACATCATTCACAAATATACTGCCCTAATGAATATTTTAAAGCTTTCTTCAACAAATCTAACTGTGCTGCCTTGGCAAACTGTCAAGTTACTTGTTAGCTGTATCACAGGTTGTGAAAATCACTTGAAATATTACAGTTAGTAATAACAACTACATAGTCCTGATCCTCTGGTAAAATACTTCAGGTTCTTGTAAAATTGATTTTCCAACCTGACAGAAAGGTTTACTCTAGCCATACACTCCGATACATTAAAAAAAGATCAGCACATTGCTGCAGATTGCCTAATAAACAGAAAAGTATTTGGGGTGTGAGTAGAGAAGAAGACAGAGTAGAACAGAGCATTGCATCGCATACGAACAGATCGTATGGACTTTACTGGGTTACTGTATTTCTGTGAACACAGGTGACAATTATTTCCTCAGACATAGCTAAGGCGTAGCAGCTGATCTGCTCATATATATTTTCTTCTACTAATACTGGAAACAATATAAGATAGATCGCAATTTTACTACCAACTTTGACAGTGCTCATACCTAAATGCTGAGATAAATAGTTGTTCTCTGAATGCTGCAACAGGGTTTGCAATATAGGAAAGGTTTCTAATAAGCCATGTGCTGTTCTCATTGAAGAATTAGTTGAACAGTTTGCTATTTTCATTTGCCTTAACTGATTCTTTGTGAACACACTACAGGTCAAGGCTAAGCTCACAGCATTTTATGTTGGCAACTTAATTGTTGACTTGATTATGCAGGAAAGCAAAACGTGATCATCTGAATAGATTAATGCGTGTGTATGTAAGGATGGAAAGATCTGGTCCAGCAACACTGTGACTGGAAAATGAGTCATACTGCTATAGTCTCTAGACACTGCCACTAACCTGCACCTGATATTTTTAAAATGAGAAATTACTCAGACACCTCAACTGGGAAACAATTCTCAGAGTTTTTTGCAGTAGTAAGAATGAAATATGGATCAGGAAAAAAATTTTCAGGTTTCAAAGCAATGGATGCAGTGCTGAAAATCTCATAAAAGACATGAGATTTTTATTTGTAAGGTTAACACAATTTTCTAAGTCCACAGCTGAAGAATTCTATCATCCTATTCTATTTTATTCTATTCCTATTCTATTCTATCCCATTCTAAACATTATCTGATATTTAAGGCTTTAATTAATTTATGTGGAAATTAAGAGAGAGATATTCAAGAATTAAGTCCAGCAGGCTGATTTGGTTCAGCAAGCTACATTTAAAATTATCCAATCACTAAATTACTCAGTCACATCCCAAATTGCACTTCTTTAAAAATGCATGTAATTCTTTTCTTTCAGTTTGACCCTGATGCTTCTTCACAGAACAATATGAGAAGCTTTTGCTTTTTTTTAATCTTAAGAGTTAACTTCCCCAGCTCCACATATCTGAATAGGATTTTATTTTGCCATGCACTTTTTTCACGCAACATTTTCAGACAGAAGTAGGCTAGACAGAATTCTCTGCAGAGTGTATAAGGCTATTATTGACTTGCCACAAAGTTCCTTTGCAAACTATTTTTAGCAAGAAATTTTAGCGTCAGACCTGTAACAAACAGCTAAGCTGCTAAAAATGTCTCCAACAATTCTCCCCTTCCTGCACCTACCATGTATCTCAGGAGCTGTGCCATCCACACTTTGGTTCAGCCCTCCTATGCCTGCTTAGACTCAGATGTGAAATTTCAGCATAATGTTTGTTTGCTCCTCATTCTTGGTCCCAACCTTCATATTCTGTGGTCCTTTTTTGTAAATGGTTGTTAGGCATTTGACAGCATAGCCTTGCATGTTATAGAATGACAACAGTGTGTATATCATTAGGTTGCAATAAATAGACACAATGTTGTATCCCTTTTATCAGCTTTTTTTCAGTTTATATATGCATATATACAGTCACAAAGAAGTATGGTTTTCCAAAGTGACAAGGAGATGAGGGAATGTCTAGTTCCACTGAAATTGACAGGCATTATATATTTAAATACCTTGATTACCTGGAAAATGCAAGTCTTGCTTCTCTAAAGACAATAAAAGTTAAACGTCTACAGAGAATGAATGAATTAACCAAGTCAAATAAGAAACAAGAAGAAGATTGGGTACTATTTTCTTTATAAGGTCACCCAGACAGGAAGAGGCACTGTCACCCTGAAAATGCTAAATGCTAAATCTTTCTATCACTTATCACTCTAGTTTTCAGTATAGAATTCCTATATTGAGATCATGTCTGCATTTCAGAAGACGGAGACAGATAACACTGTGCATACAGCCTGCCATTACATAACATAGCTGGGTTTAGCCAGTTATTTGCACTCTTCACAAGCTGTAGGTGAGTTATGCGCTGACACTTTTTGTTGAGCTATTCATGCTTTTAACTTTGCATCTTTTGTCTTGCAGCCTACTATATCCAAATTGTTCCTTCTGCTCTTATCTACCCAACCTCTGTTATCTTCGTATTTTTTCCTTAATTATCTGGCTAATACCTTGCATTGCTTTTATCCTTTCTGTATCTGTACAACTCACAACACTCCTGTGGTAGGCAATTAGAGATGAAGTTTTTCAAATTAGGACAGGTACCTATGAAGTGAGGTGGAAAGTGAACTGAGGTCTCCCAAGACCTCTTTTTAATGCCATCTTTCTATTCTCCCTCCTTCCAGAGGCCAATGCCATTTGCAGTGACAGGGTCTCCAAAAGATTCCTAGGACTGGGGAGCTGACAGATCACAGGCGGAAGCTGGCTTCCTGTGACAGTGTTTGAGATAGACAGGGATATCTAAATGCCGAAGTTACTATATGGTAACAGAGGTAACATCTTTAAAACTAGCTGGTACAGTTAACCTACATAGTAATGTACGAAGGGAATTATTTTGCCATATCAGCCTTACCTCTCTTAGGTCCTTGTGCCCTCCTGTAAAAAAAAGCACTAATACTGGTAATTTTTTAATGCTCTTATAAAAAGATAAACTGCAACATTTTGATCTTCTTTTCAGAAGTTTTACATTGTTGTGTCACTGTGAATGTCATTGACATTATTGCTGATTTGCTCTACTCTGAGTGAGATCAGAATCAAGCCTTTAAGAAACCAGTTCTGTGCCCATCAGAGTAAATACATGTATTCTGCTAACTTCAGTACCAGCAGGATGGATTCTGAATGCAGATGGACTGTTAGCTTAGACTCATGGCATCTGGAGACATGTTGTTCCAGTTGTACTAACGTAGCTCAGAAGTGCCTTTGTAAAGTTCATAGAGTGGATGGTGACAGAAAGATGAAGTAAAATCAGACCCAGTCTGCCGTTTACTTGCCAATATACCTCAGACTCCTACTTTTCTACATAATGGTCCCCAAATCTATGAAAAATGGATACTGGTTCATAGAAGAGAATGTGAGTTTCACCTCTTAAGCAAAAAGTTCTGCTGAGGTATATTAGGACTTGGAGTGATTCTACTTCACAGAAGATAGACCTCTAGAGAAATCTGTATCAAAGACATAGCCAATCTTATTGCCACTTTGCTTTTTAATAGATTTACTGTGAGTTTGTATTCCTGATGACAACACAAGATCAGCTTAGAGCACCAAACAGCCCAAACCTTACAGTGATGATCCAGCTGTACCCATCCACCATATCCGTATCTCTGTGAAAGAAAGAAGAAAAAGCCAGTGCTAGTTAGCACTCTGCAATAATAATAAAAATCTCAGTTCTTACAATCCAGCAGTACCTTATTCAGGAGAAACACTTACGCGTATGCTCAGCTTTGAGCCTACAAGTAGCCCCATTGACTTCAGCAGAAGTGCTGAAGTTTATCTGGACTGGACTAACGGTTTTTGTAGATCTGAACTTTTAGCTCCCAGTTCAATAACATTTTTAAGTAAGTCCTACAACTCATTTCAAAGTGCTTAAAGTCGCTTACTATATTGAGGTTCTAACTGGAATGATTTTTACACAGAAAAAATTAAATCAAGCATTTGGCAATATGAAAATTGAGCTGACAGTTTTCCAATCTGTGATCAGTTAATCATTGGCACAAAGATGTATTGATTCCACTTTTCAGCTTCCATGATTCAGCAGCAGGACTGAAGGTCAGTCTCTTGTCTATTAATATTTAAACAGCCAAGAGAAGCTAAAAAGGAGAAGCTTAGATGTTCATTGATTCTTCCAGAGAGATTCAAAATTGTTTATGCAAAACCCCCAAAACCTACAAAAGATGCTGATTTCCTTTTATATTCATAAATTCTCAGATTAGAAAGAAATGAAATCTTGGAATATCATAATAGTCGGGAAACAATGCTCAGAATTTTTCTGTTACGAAACATTTCAAAGGAAACTGAGTAAAAGCAGGTATTTCTTTCACTGAAGTGTAAACAATTTGAATACAGTCCTGAATTTCCTGTGATAACAAATTATTACTTAATGCCACTGTGAGCTTTCCCAAAGTAGGTGTGCAGAGCCGAGCCTCCTGACTTCAGCCAATTGGAGATGCTAATGACTGAGGCTATATATGTTTTATTTCGCTATGTTTAGCTATG